AGTTTTGCCTGGATCGGGCCAATAAAAGAGGCTCCAACCAAACCATAATGTGTCTAGAATTATAACTGCTGCTGTCTTGGCCAGCTTTCAGTAGTTAAGCTTTAGCCACATGGTGGCGCCAGGCTATAGGACTGATTTGAGTGACACTAGAGTCACAACTCACTTGGCCATTTTGTCAGTATTGACCTAACATGACCCTACATTAATGGTTCAGGCCCCACTGACCACATCAGGACAGTGCTTTGTATCTCTGGTTCCATCTCTTGGCCTCAATTCCTCCACTAGACTGCTGCTCCCACATGTCCAGGCCAGTTTATTTATCCTTGTGCTTGACAGGTAGGCACCTATTCAATAAATACTTGTTGAGTTTAACTGAAATAACAATGAATTTACAGTAAAGGTTAAGACATACTGGCTAATTTGGGCCAGTTTTCTCCCCCATGATTAATTGCATGTGGTAGAATCATAAAAGTACCTGGGAGACACTTAGCAAATTTCTCAGTTCTTGATTAAATTGAACATTTTGGAAAAACTCCAAAGGAGAATCTAAAACTGAATCCATGGTCTTTTGGCCTATAGTCTAGAATTCTAGCCGAGTTTTAGCAAGCTTATAAATGCCGATACTATTATTTCATTCATATGCTGTCAATTAACTCCTTAGCATAAGTTCTGTTCTTGGATGTAAATTAAAATATAGGTAATTTGTGCTTTGGATGGGTGCATCTGCTTTGTAAATGTTAAGACTGACCTATTGTTTTTCTTAGGTGCTTTGGAAATCATATATTGATTTTGAAATTGAACAGGAAGAAACCGAAAGAACAAGAAATCTTTATCGACAATTGCTTCAGCGAACACAACATGTCAAGGTATTCTGTGATTTGTTGTTGATCTTTGATTTTGCTTGAATCAGCAGTCCTAAAAAAATACTTTGTGTATTTTTTTTATTAGAGAATTTAATTTAACTATACATAGTGATGAACATCTGTAATCTCAGGTACTTGGGAGGGTGAGGCAGGAGGATCAGAACTTGAAGGCTAGCTTGGGCACCTTATTGATACCCTATCCCAAGTAAAAATTTTAGAAAGGCTTGGGATGTAACTCAGTGGTACAGCCTTGCCCAGCATGCATGAGGTTCAATCTCCCTTACCATAGGAAAAAAAAGAAAATTTATTTTAAATTATTTCTTTGCTTTTATTGAGAACCCACAAGTCTCAGAGGACTTGTGAATGTTAAACTTATACAGTGTATATGTTTATACTGCATGTGAATATCTTGGATATCACGAGATTGGAAAAAGTTCCTCTTTTCATGGTTATTATCAGATATAGAAACAAATTACTTCCATGCTTACATTGACTCATATAGTCAATGTATTCTGTGAAACACTAGAAATGACTATATCATATTCAGATATCATGAACTAGAAATTAGCTTTATTATTATTATAATATGACTGTCATCTAGATGACATTGCTAATTTGATTCCTTAATAATTTTCTTTTAAGGTATGGATCAGTTTTGCTCAGTTTGAGTTGTCTTCAGGGAAAGAAGGAAGTGTGGCTAAATGTAGACAGATTTATGAAGAGGCTAACAAAACCATGCGAAACTGTGAAGAAAAGGAAGAGAGACTTATGCTGCTAGAATCCTGGCGAAGCTTTGAAGATGAATTTGGAACAGCCTCAGATAAGGAGAGAGTAGACAAACTCATGCCAGAAAAAGTCAAGAAGAGAAGAAAGGTCCAGGCTGATGATGGGGTAAGAGCTGAGCCTTGAAGCTATGTGTTACATGAGTAGAAATGTATGAGTTTAAAGTTATGTTGTATATATGCCATGAGAATGGGAGCGCACAGCCTAGAGTAAGAGTCACTTGCAGTCTGGTTACTAAGGAAGGACAGCCAGGGTAGAGGATTGGGATGGGGATTGGCAAAAGCTTTTGGGGTATAGTTGAGTCCAGGAACTATATAAAATGTGATGTTTCTAAAGTAGAAAGCCAGTGTGGAGGGAAATAAACTCACCAAGTAGAGCTAATCCAGACAAAGTTTTGTAGGCATAGGAAGGAGTTTGGTGGGAATTTATTAAAGGCTTTTTATAGATAAAATGACATAACCAGATTGCTGTTATTTCATACAGGAAAGCTTTGAGAGTCTTAGATTGCATAAAGAAAACCTGTGATAAAGATGTTTTTGTAAGCTAAGTAAGTGCAGGTAGAAGTGGGGGCCTAGAAGAGCAAATTTTGGCAAGTGAAATCAGTAGTCAGTTGGAGGTAAGGATGTAAGGGGCACAGGTATATAGCTTTTGCTGTTAGATACATGTGAAGTAAAAAATCTTTAAAAGTGTAAATCTTAAACATAAGACTGCAAAATGTAGTTAGAGACACTATCTTCTTGGTTGACTATGGAGCAGAATTTTCTTCCACCAGATTTTCCCATTTTGGTGAGCTACAACTCCAGCAACACCAACCTAGCAACTCCTTATTCATGTCCTATCTTTCAGGCTTGGCTTTTGAGTTTTTTGTAGTAGGTTTTGATATTGTTTTGTAAATGAAGACAAGGTGAATTAGAACTCTGGGTTTCCAGTAAAAAAAACCTCTGCTTTAACTGAAATGTATTTAAGCCAAATGTTTTCTTGCCTTTTAATTTGCTTTATTTCTATAGTCTGATGCAGGATGGGAAGAATACTATGATTACATCTTTCCAGAAGATGCTGCCAACCAACCTAACCTCAAGCTCTTGGCCATGGCCAAACTATGGAAGAAACAGCAACAGGAAAAGGAGGCTGCTGAGCAAGATCCAGATAAGGATGTGGATGAGAGTGAATCCTGATGTTTTTTTTTGTATTGAAAAGTGTTTTATTATTTTTATAAATTGATAGTTTGGAATTCTTGAGACTCCTGGAAGTTTTTATATTCACCAGCAAGGAATTATTTGGGATGGCTACTTTTTTGAATCATTTTTAAAATGCCCTGGATTAGGTAGGGGTGAGGAATTGCAAGTAAATGCATTTTTTAAATGCTGGATTTCTTCACTTGACTCCAAACTTTCCTAATGTTTGTCTATATCATGCATTAGGAAATGTAATTGAGGTTATGCTTAGCATCTATTTTAGATGGACCTGCAGACTTGACTTATTTTTTTAAAAAAGTTTTCAGGTTACAGTCTGCAGTAATTTTTCAGATATAGTTTTCTAATGTTATGCATTCATGAAACCTATAACTTTTTACTGTTTTCAAAGTCACAGTCTTGAATTCAGTTTCCAGCACTGCCACTTAGTGATTGTGTATTTTAACCTTTTTTTTTTTTCAGTTTCCTTGTTCATAAAATAGGCCAATTCTTTGACAGCACATTTCAAAATTATATTAGAAAAATACCTGGTGCACAGTAAGTGGATAAAACTTTTGTTCTTTTCCACTCTTAAATATGTTCATTCCTTGTAGATCAGGATATGCTTGAATTAACATCAAAACATCTTTACCTTCTCAATAGTGGCCAGTTATACCAAAAGCTACTAAAAACATTGCAAAATTAACTTACAGTGACTATTTTTCTGAAGTCATTTTTACTAATAACATTTAGTTTCAATTATACCATTATTAGTTCCTTAAACGGGTTTGAGTTTTGTAGTTGAGTTTTGACTTGTTTTTAAGATGTGCTGTGAAAAATGATGCCCCCTTTTCAAATAAGTTTGGGAAATCCTAGATTAAAGCTTAAACTGCTAATGGAGTCTCTAAAATCAGTCTTCTTGGAGCCTTTGGTATACTGCTATATATCATGAATCTTCATAATGATGCTGTCCTATTGTTTCCCAAATTTAATGAACAATGGAATTATAAATTTTATCTAGAATATCATCTCTGTGTGCTAAGTACAAAAAATGTTTACTCATAACACCCAACATGTTAAACTTAGCCTAGGGGTTTAGAGCATACGTAAAAACACTGAAGGTACCATATACTAAATAATGAAAGGTTAAAGTAGCACAAGAATGAAAACATTATTAATATTATGGTGTATTACTTACATTCTCAAGCAGAAAAACTGATCTGTTTCATTTAACTTAGCTGGTATTTCAAGCATACTTTTTTGTTTTGCTTTGTTTACTACTCAAACATACAGCTGTATTTTCAAGACTCTTTCTCACCTGTAGGACCATTAATAAGCAAATTTAATATTAAATGTATAAACTCATCCAAGGGAGTAAAAGAGACTTGGTTATTAATTTCTATCTTGAAAATTAGGGCATTTGAGGGCACAAGAAAACAGAACTAATAATAAGCCTTTTTGTCTTCTGCTTTTGTTACTGGACCAGTTTCACACTTTGGGGTGTCAGATTGGTTATACTGACTGAGGTCTTAGGAGAATCTGATTGTCCTTTATTAAATATGCAGTCAAGGGGAGAGACAAATAGGTCTGAACGTTAATGACCAGCCAGTCTTCCTAGAATTATCTGTTCTGTTTAGGTTGCGTGTAGACATAAGAAAAAGTTAGAGATCATGTTCTCAAAGTCATAACAAATGTGCCAGTGTGAAATGCTGGAAGGAAAGTTATTCTCCTATGGGAGAACATAAAAGATGCATTTATCTTTTTCCTGAACTTCACCAAAATCCTTTCTACAGTAAAAGCTTTTTAATCATTTCATGTGGATTTTTCTTTAGTTTTTTTCTTTTACTTATTGGATATTTTCAGATGCTAGAGGTAATGAAACTATATATGAAAACACATGGTCAGCCTATGATCTGTTTCTTTAGGAATTAAGTTCCTTTTCTTCTTGAAAAAAAAAAACCAAAACACACATCAGCTTCTTTTTGTATTTAGGAAGGCAGGATTAAACAGTACTGAAAGAAAAAAAAAAAAATCCAGGAAACAACTAGGAAGAATCTGTACATGACAAGCAGCTTAACTGTATATGTAGTAAAAAAAAAAAAAAAAAAAAGTAAGAAAAATATATCTGATGAACTTTCATAATCTTTAGTTGTATAAATGACCAGCAGACACCCAGAAAACATTCATAGAATCAACAATGTATTTTATTATACATCTTAGATTTATACATTTCATATATGCTTTTAAAGCTTCAATTAACAGTTCAATACAAAATAAAAAATATATATATATATATATGCAGCAGTGGTTCTCAGGCACAGAATTTAAGAGGCTGGAGCAAGTCTTTTCCCGGCATATAGTGGACATTATGAATCATGATAGTGGAAAGCTTCCTTCTGACCTAGCTGCCTTCTTGATTGAATTTTATTAGAGCAAACAGCTTTAAGACATGTGATATTGCTAAATGGAAACAATGAGATTGAAAATGTTTATATCCTGTATTTTCTTAAAGTCTTTAAGACCTAAATGATTACTTTTCTCCTAATAGTGCTCCAAGATCATCCAATGAAAATAATATTGTCCATAAACTATTTGGAACAACTGCCTAAGAACCACTGCCTATGGTTATTCAATGTCTTCAGGCCTCACAGGATGAGGTAATGGTATGATGGATTTCTTCTCAGTGTCCCTGGAAAGTGCCTTCCTCATATCTGTTAGGAAGCAAAGTTTAATGTGAAGTATCCAAGTATCAAAACACTTCATATCAAATTTAAAATGTATGTAGGTAAAGTTCCCATAAAAGATTTTGTCCTATATTCCCACTTCCAGACTCTAAGAGAAATGTATTTATAAGTAAGACTTCCAATTGCAAGTATATCAGATGCTAACCAAACCCCACCCAGGATTTAATTCATCATACACATTCAATCTTAAATACCATACTCATAATATTATGAAACAATAATTTACAAAAACTGACCACTGGTTAGTTAATGTAAGTTAATCACTAATAAAGTTCATAAACATGTTAAAGGTGATTTAAATATCCAAGTCCAATATGGTTCTTTTTAATATATTAAAATAATTGAATATTTCAACCTGGAGAAAAAATTTAACTGTTCTGGCTTCTTCTTGGAGTTACTGCTTTGGAAGGGAGCTTACCATAAGCATCCTCATCGGGCTCCCCGTTGCTGGCTGAATAGTACTCTATGACCGTCCTATACACACTGTAGCCCAATTGCTTGTACATGTTGACTGCAACTTGGTTAGATACTCTTACAAAGAGATCAACAAAAAATCCACCCTTTCTTTAAAAAAACAAAAAAAACAAAAAAAAAGAAAGATGTTGGAATGTGAGAAACCCTAGGAAGTAATAAATACAGATTTTTAAAAACAATACTTGTTTTTACTTTGCTTTGACTACTCAGTAACAAGACTTTGCAGCTTGACAATTCTGCGGTACAAAAAGATGACTGTTTTTGCAAACAGTCAAAAGCTTAATACGTTTTCTTAAAATATAATTTTTTTCCTACAATTTTGCTACTGGTTTTTAAAAATTACTGTGTATTTTATGTCACAGTAATTGATATGCTTATTTTATAAAACAGTCATAGTACATGATGTTTTCTCTCATGTGCACAAACGGCAAATAGCCATAGCAGGATGCTGGTTGCAGCCCTGAAGCCCACAAGTCTTTGTGGTAATATATACGTTCATTCACTCAGAGGTCTCCACATCCTGACCCTTGTGACCAGACTATTTTCTGTTTGCTTTCTGTTGTCGATTTACCATCTATTATAGTTTAGTTCCTCCTGTTGTCTATATGTAATGGAATCAGACTTTATGCATTCCTTTGTGATTCGCCTCAGTCAGCACTGTGAGCTGGAGCTTGTTCATCTTCACTTTGTTAAGCATTCCACTGTATGAATACACCACAAGCCATCCATGGTCCTACTGAAAAGCATTTCCAGTTTGTACTAGTACAGTTTATGCTGTGGAGGCTGATGTAGCTCAGTGGGAGAGCTCTTGCCTAGCACATGTGCAAGGCACTGGGTTCAATCTCCTGTACCACCAAACACACAAGCACACATACAAAACAACCACCACCACTAACTATGCTGCTATGAAAACTTTTTAATTGAGCATCTTGTGGAATAGTATCATCTAAGATCTATAACTAGGATATATATTGTTGTGTCATAACCGTTTTCAACTTTATTAGATAATGCCAACCTGTTTTCCAAACTGCTTGTAAAACTTACCCTCCTATAGAAGTGGATGAGACTCCAATCCCACAGTAACAAGCTTTAATGCATCTGACATTTTTATTTTTGCCAGACTAATGGTGTAATGATATCTCAGTGTAATTTTAATTTGCATTTGATTACTAACAAGGCTGAATATATTTCTGGTTATTGATCATTTAGATTTCTCCTATTCAATACTTAGTGGTCTTTCACACAATTTCCCCCCAAGCTGCAGCTGTCTGTGTATTTTGGATATTCAGCATTATATAATATTTTTGGAAATATCTTTTCCCGTTTGTGGCTTGTCTTATCATTATCTCCAATGTATCTTTTTTTTTTTTTGAGAGAGAGAGAAAAAATATCTTTTTTGTAGATGGACACAACACAATGCCTTTATTTTTATGTAGTGCTGAGAATTGAACCTAGGTCCTGCCCATGCTAGGCGGGCGCTCTACCGCTGAGCCACAATCCCAGCCCTCCAATGTATCTTTTGATGATCAAATTTATGCCAGTTGTTAGTAAGGTTGAACATAAAACCTTCTTCTTACAGTTAAGCACGTTTTGGCCTGTTCCAAGTTATTCTTTTGTACCCTGAGGTCACATAAACACTCTTCTATCTCATATCCAAAGAGCTTTTTAGTTTTGCCTTTTACATCTAAGTTTTTAATTGATTTATGAATGTTCATCTAGTGACTATAAAGTATATTTACTAGAGGTTTATTATTGATAATAATTTTTCTTTTAGGTTAAGGACACTCTCCTCCTTTTTCCTAGTTGGCTAACAGTTTGTTGTTTTTGGTTTTTAATCAAGAATGAATATTGGATTGTATCAAGTTTACTGCACTTAATGAAAAAACAGTTGTTCTCATTTAGTGTGAAGTTAAAACAACCTTGTTCCTGATGTTATCCACTGAACCCATTTTGCCCCATGATCTTTCTGGGATTTTTTTTTTTTTTTTTTTGCACTTAAGGAATGAGATTTCCTCAGTTCTTCCATTTTCATGTTTTTTGTCAGGTATTGTTATCAAGGTTATCCTAGCCTTAAAAAATAAGTTGAAGAATGTTCCAAGATTTTTTTTGCTTGTGTAAAAGTGACCTTACAATAGTCATTTCTTAAATGTTTGCTGAAATTTGCCAGAAAAGCCAAAGCTCTCTTTGCAGAAAGTTATACTACCTAATTGAAATCCTTTAAGGTAAGAATTGGCTCTCAAGGTAAAGTAATGACTTAATTCCAAAGAGTTAAAAATAAATTAATATAAGACAATGCAACAGATCTCAGGTGACCTGAAAACTCTATTTACTCTCTGGTTCAGAAAAAGTTCACTGACCTTCATTCTGTACCCTTAACCAATTTCTGTCTATTGTTCTATCAGGAATAAGCATGTTCAAATTTCCCACTGTAATAATCATCTGTCTATTTATCACTGTTGTTTTGTCAAGTTTTGGATTTTTATTTTGAATTTATATCACTGGGTACATAAAATTTCTAACACATCTTTTTGATGGATTAAATCTTTTATCTGTATACAATGACCCTTCTTTACTCTGGTAATAATTATTCAACTATAATGTAACTTAATGGAAGTACACCAACTTTCTTTCCATTAGACTTTTCATGACATAATACCTTAAATTTTTCTTTCAATCTTTGTGTATTTTTTAATGTTTATAAATATTTCCTGTAAATACAATACACTTCTTCTGTCTTTTAACTGGAATCATTAGTCCTAACATTTCCTATTCTAATTACTGATAGTGTTTGGATTCATAGCTACTGCTTTATTTCATACTTTTTGTATTGCCAGTTTAAATTTCCTTTCTCTTCTTTTGGACTGATTCTTATCATTTAAATTTTTTGTCTCCTCTTTTGGTAATTATCTACTGTTTATACTTTTAATGTATACATTTAAATACATGCATACATACATACACTCATACAAATAACTTAAGTCTTAACAGCTACCCTAAAATAATGAAGCTTCTAAAACTAGAAGAGAAGAAGCTTAGTGGTTTTCTAGTCAAAGAGAGAGAGAATCTATCCTATAATTAATTACACATGTGCAAGGTTACAGTTGGAACTTATTTCCTATCATTCTATCTGCTATACAAGAATGCTAAATAACTTTTTTCCAACAAGGATGTCATTAATAAATGTGTATAAACTATGTATTATTAAAATTTTCTTCCCTTCCTTATTCAGTCTAGGCATAACTTTTAAAAAAAACTGTAAAATCTAGAGTCAACTTCTTTTTCAGCTAACACCATTTCCTTTATTCTCTAAAGGGATTGGCATCCTACTTGACTCAGAATGTTTGTGGCCACAGTTACTTCTTTAAAATTTGCCTTTATTAAATCCAAGAATTATGTGAAAATTAAGCCTCCAGACCTTTTTTTCATAACAATCTACTTTCCTATTACTCTTTCAGACATTTACCTTGAGAAACAAATGGCATCTGAATAATTGGTCAGACTTACATTATCTTGACTTTTCTAGAATGAGAAATGGGAGAAGCCTTCCTTTTAATTACTACTTTTTTATCTCACATAGTGAGAGTATTTAATATATGACTCTCCCTTTTTAAATGTCATAATGTTGGCAGTTCCCAAACTGCACTCGGGTATCCCAAATTCATAGAAGGGTTATAGGATTTTCAAGATGCTTAGGGAAAACATAGTAAAACTTTATATGTCAGATACTGGCAAAATACTAGTTCAAAGTAGTTAACAAATTCAACATTATGCTACATTCCTTTTAATTACATAATATTTTTATGAAGCTGGGTTTTTGGCAGTTGCTGTAATTTTAAAAAGCACTAGTGCCACATGAATAGCAATGGGAAACAGGATGGTGAATCTATTTCCAAGGTTTAAGAAGTCAGTCAGTCAGTCACTGTGGAACACACCTGTTAATCCCAGCTACTTGGGAGGCTGAGGCAGAAGGATCACAAGTTCACAAGTTCAAGGCCAGCCTCAGCAACTTAGCAAGACCCTGTCTCAAAATAAAAATAAAAAGAGCTGGGGATGTATGTAGCTCATGGTAGAGTGCCCCTAGCACTCTAGAACAAAAAAAATTTTTAAAAACCATTCAATGCCCTTGGTGCACATATCATTAATAGATAATAACCACACAGTTAAAAATGAAATGAAAATGCATGTTATTTCAGTTTATCTTTTCAAAGTGGCTATTTTACAAGCTGTTAGGCTTGTAAGTATTTATTAAACTTAAGATGGAACTATTTTCTTTTGGTACAGGAACACTGAAAATTCTACTAAGATACGCAGAACAATGATAACAAAATTTAGGAACTTATACCATAGTAGCAAGAACACAAAAATAAACCTTCCTTGAAGGCTAGTCTTTAATATCACCAGTTATCCAGTGTATAGGCCTATGACAGGTCACTGCAACACTCTGCCTTAATTTTCCTCAATAACAAAACAGGAACAATGACATCACTCAGAATAGGTGACAGTTCTAAGAACTACTAGAAGTTGAAAGTAAAACCCTGCAAAGTATAAAGACACAGCAGCTACTCAGCCAGAAGTGGGGGAAAATCTTACAGATGTTCTACAGACAAAAATGGTGAGGGTTCATAAATCACTAAGTATATTTGAAAAACTGGATCTCACCTTTCTGAAATCTCTTCTAATAACTCCATAAGTTTAGCAGCCAAACCAAGACGTCGAAATTCAGGGGCAACAGACAGAGCTGTGACGTGCCCATGCCATTCTTCCCTGGCTACTGAGCCTTCTGCTTTACCCATAACTGCCGACAACAACAACAAAAGCATTCAGTAATTAGACACACTGATTAACATAAAATCAGAGTTTTCATTTTTTAAAAAATTTATTTATGTGCGGTACTGAAAATCAAACCCAGTGCCTCCTACACGCTAGGCAAGTGCTCTACCACTGAGCTACAACCCCAGCCCTCAAAGTTTTCATTTTTAAGTATCCAGTTAATGCTATTTATTTTAAAATTCCCTTGCAAATGAAATGCCACATCTGTTTATAGAATCAGGAAAAGTTTTCATGGAGGTATGTATATATGTGGGTATGTGCATACAATAAAGAGACAATTCACAGCTTAAATTTTTGTTAGTAATGCTACTAATTCAATGAAGATGATACAATCCACACATTATATATGCCAAATAAGCCATGATATAAATATAGAATGAAAGTCCAAGAAAAATGAGATCATGTCTGCCTGGTTCACTGTTACCTAGAACAATCGCTAAAAGAGAAGTGATCAGTAAGCTGTTGAGTAGTTGAAAAGAAAATAAAACACAGGCATCATGATTCCAATTCTATAGTCTAAAGTAATCATGTTGAAATCTACATTAAAATCTTAACTTTCTACCCAAAAAAGTGCTAGTGGTTTTATACTTACTATAACCCATTAATTCTCCACCAGGTGCCTCTGCAACGATGAAATACTCTGGCCAGTGGGCGAGGTACTGTAAGTAAAAAGGAATCCCATACTAGATCCTGTTAAGGAGTATGAAAAGTAATGGACGGTAAAAAGTTCCCTTAAAACAAAACACAAAAAAACATAATTGTTACTTTATCTTCAGCTCTGTAAAATTCCTAATTATGCCCAATACATGAAATATTTAGGTTAGCACTGAATTTTTACAAAATTGCCTAGACATATCACCTCAGTTGTGAAATGGAGACTGCTAGAAAGCAAAGAATCAGGACTCCCAAGTTCTTGTACAGTTTGCTTCCCTACTTACTGACCATCCTGTATCTAAGTCTCTGTGTAGCATTTATCATCACCTGAGATTCTTATTTGTTCACTGTCTGTTAACTCATGGATTATGAATGTCAGATTTACTGTGTGGTGCTTAGCACATAAATGTTCAATATATTTATCCTTCCATAATTGCACTGGAAAATTAATGGATAGTTCCTACTTTGGCTTCAGCCATGAAACTGAAAATAAGTACAACCTAAGTCCTTTCAGGGGCAATAATTACCTATTTTTCCCCTCCACTGATTCAAATTTTAATAATGCAGATAAAATGTGATTAAAGGAATCAAGTATGTCTGCTCATTACTTAACTCTTTGACCCTAGGGTGTCCTTACTGAGAGGTACTCTCCTATATGTCTTCTCAGTATAAGCACTCTAATACAATTTAATGAGAGGACACCATCAATCATACAAAGCTCAGTGGTAGAGTGTTTGCCTGGCCTGCACAAAGCCCTCCTCTGAGGAACAGTCATTATTTTATCTTCAGCTCTGTAAAACAACCCTAACATGGCAGGCCATCCAGTCTTGCTGCCATGAAGCCACTCACTCCTTAATCATCTTGCCTACTCCTCAAATCAACCAGTAGGACCTAACAGAGTAGTTTCAAATATGAACTCACTTTGATTATGGGATTTAACTGTAAAATTTAGATGCCACTCAAAGCACATTGTATAAGTTGATTTGCATTCTAATATTTTCCTTTATTATACAGTAAGAATTTTCCTTTGGCATTCAAAATTCTTCAAAAACCTTTTGACTTTTTTCTTTTAAAGACAGGGAGATAGTTTTTATTAGTCATAATTTTAAAAATTCAAATGAAAGCTTTGTGGATTTTTCTTGTTCTACTCAATTTTGTTTCTGATCTATAGTCCTCTTATAGCCTGTACCTGTGGTTAATTTTTACTACTGTGTAGGATTCCCTGATATGAAGACAAATCTAAATACTCTGTCTCCTGTCGGGAGACACCTGGGTCATTTCTATAGTTTCCCAAAAAACTTTGTAAGTCCTTCTTGGATACATCTTAATTTATTTAACCATATCCTTGTTATGTGTGAATTCCAAAATTTCAATGTAATTCTCCTGAAATAATTTTTATCATGATGTAACTCAGGGGTAGCAAACTTTTTCTCTTAAAGGCCTAGACAGTAAATTTCCTATGCTTGTGGACCATATGGTCTCTGGCCAGTGGGTGAGGTACTATAAGTAAAAAAGAATCCTACACTAGATCCTGTTAAGGAGTATGAAAAGTAATGGATGATAAAAAGTTTCCTTTAAACAAAACAAAAAAACATAATTGTGTTTGCATATCTTTTTTTTTTATTTAAGTTTGCATGTCAGTTTTATGGTTGAAGCCAAAATAGGAACTAGCCATTAATTTTCCAATGTAATTACAGAAAAATTAATGTATTGAATATCTATCTATGTGCCAAGCATCACAGAGTAAATCTGACATTCATAGTCCATGAGTAAACACACAGTGAACAAGTAAGAATCTTAGATGATGATAAATGCTACACAGAGACTTTGATACAGGATGATCATTAAGTAGGGAAGCAGACAACAAATTAGTCAGCATGGGCACGTCTCAATATAATCTTATTTACATAAAAAAAAAGTGGGCCAAATTTGGCCCATGGACCTGAATTTGCTTACCTATGATAAAAGCCTCTATTTTTAAAAATTATTTTTGCTTTCAGGTAATGGAATCTCTAAGTATTATATTTCAAAATCACCTTCTAGTGAGACTATACCAGTTGATACTGTCACCAGCAATTTATGAGAATGCTTTTTTTTACCCCATCATCATTAATATTGAGTTTTATCTTTTTTTTTTTTTTTTAATTTCTGGATCATCTACTCTGTTATATATGGTTTCTCATTTTGATTTAAGTTTGCATGTCTTCTGACTGGTAAGATGGACTTTACAAGTTTACAAGCTTCTACTATACCCTCTTGGGGCATAAATTAAATTATCAATTAACAGAACATCCTATCGCTCTGCAATGGACATAAAGTATAATCCAGAAATCTAATGTTTCATTTTAAACCACCGAAGATATGTAGTTATCTATTATAGCAACATAACCAAGAATGTCCTAACTTTCCATATTCTGCCCATTTTTATGTTGGGATGATGATAGAGACTATCAATTATTACCCCAAATCCTCTATTCACTTTAGTAACAAGTCCCAATTTCAAGGTGGGCTTAATTCTGGACTACAAATAGACTAGACAGGTGGGGCAGGAGGCAGGTTCTTTATGGTGCTTTGCAAAATTACTCTTAAAACGGAAGGACACACTCACCTCCCCTCTGTTGATTCTGCTGCCATACTGATCGTTTGCTCTGAGGCCACCTGGAACAGGAAGACCAAAGCTACTCTGGGAATAATTCAATAATTAAAATTGCAAAGAGGGTGGTTACTGGAGACTTCATTTAGAGGGAAACAGCCATCTTACTGAAGTCACTGTGCTTTTTGGTATATACATACAGCCATGCTACTGCTATGGGGCAAAGTGGGCAAGGGAGCTATAATGTTACAGATTTATGTAAAGTATATATATATGAGTAGTTTGCCAGGCAGATTTAAGGCAACTATTGTTTTCATTGTTTTTTAAAGTGATTTACAGGTTTTTAAAGTTTTCAGCCCTTGTGTGTAATTTTTCCTTTTATTTCTCCATTTTCCTTACTGGGTAAATCTTCATTTAATTTTTTTTTTTTTTTAAAGGATACAGTTTCTGTAAGTGGGTCCAAGTTACTGAAAGAAACAAAAGAAATGTCAAAATAAGCAGTGTTTACGAAAACCAGTTTTAATAAAACTGCTTAAACAAAAAATAATATGCCACAGGAAAACAAAATATACTTACTCCACAACTTTAAAATTAACTTTCGAGCCAAGAAAGATGGTTAATACTACCTAGTAGCCATCATGAGTTGTCAACAGCAACTATAAAATTATCTATACATTTTCATTTAACTGCTTTACAAATTATTTTACTCTTAACAAATTGCACAAGAATCTTATAGAAGATAATAAATTGTTAGTGAAGCTGGGGACCAACTAGGCATATACCTAGTATCATGAATATAGACAGCAAGTCAAACTTGCCTGCTACCCCATTTCACACAAGGATTCTACCTGCCTGTGGGGCCTTCCCTTACAGTTTTTTCTTTCTCTTTTCCACCTTATAAATATGAACATTCAGTTTTTACTTACCTACTCCTACATTTCCACCAGCCCCATTCCTATACTTTCCATTGTGCATTTTTGAAGGAGGCTTTCCCCAGCCTGGCCCTGGTGCCAGCATGTACTACCACACCATCATCACACCATTCTTAAAACCCATATCCTCCATCCCCATTCAGCTCTGGCCTCTCACTTTCCTGTTCATTTAATGGAACTGTTATTTTTTCAGACACAAATCAGCAACTTTCAACCTTCTTCCCATTTATAGTCAAGTTTTTTGGTACCCTTAACAATGCCATATTACATCTCTCTATTCCAGTAAGTTCTCAATCTTTTTGGTTTCAAAAACCCCCTTTACACTAAAAAAGTATTCAACTTTTAGTTTAGATAGGTTATATATATTGATGTTTTAAAATTAAAAATATTCACTGAAAATCTATTTAATAAGTCAATTATATGTTAACATTAATAACTTTACCAAGAAATCACTGTATTTTGGAAAATAAACAAAAACTTAGCGACAACAATGACACTTTTAACAGTTTTGAAATGACTGGCTTTAAAAGAAACCAGCTGAATTTTCAAGGATTTGTTATGCTTGCTGTTGAAAGATAACACATCAGGAAAACCCCAATGTATGCTTTTAAGACAATGAGAGTGAAAAAGGCATTTAAAAAAAAATCTTAGTATTATGAAAATAGTTTTGTTCTTGCAGAACTCCAAAACAATCCTGGGGACCCCGCAGATCCCTGACCCTCACCTGGAGAATCACTGCTCTAACACAGTGTGGGGATTCACTCTCCTACACTTCTTGACTACTTCATATCCTCTCGTCTCACCTTGACTCTCCAACAGGTTGCCCCTTCTCTATCTCAGCTGCTTCCTATTTCATCACAAAGAAAATACAACAGTAAGAAGAGAAGAAAGTGTCACCAAAGTCCCACCAATGAATCCACCCACCTAATGACCACCAGATGCTTGCTTGCACTTCTGTCATTAGGCATGGAGTGTCAGCCAGCAGATCCCACCCCTCTCACTACTCAGGACCCTGCTCTTGCGATTCTGTCTCCTGAATCTGCATCTCAAATTTCTGTCTCTTCCCTAGAAGAAATGTACAAATAGGATTTGCACTTAGTCATCAGCAGCTCTTCACATAGTTTCTCATTCCTTCTTCCTGAAACACTCTCTTCACTTGGCTTCCAAGACTCCATCAGTTTTTTCTCCCACCTCAGTGACCGGTCTCCTTGACACCTTTGGGCATATTCTAGACTTTTCTTTCTACAGTTATTCCATCACTAGTGTCATATAGTCTCCTGATAACCTGCCATCATCCACACAGTAAGGATCTTCAAATTCCTATCTTTAGTCCAGACCTAAACTTGAGACCCCCATGCCCAGATGCCTACCTGACCTTTCTACTGGGGTGTCTTAATGAAAAGACAGAGAAGCCCAAGTCCCAGGAAGGAGTTTCCAAGATCTAGGCCTTTGACTCTCTGACTTCATCTCTTACACGCCTGTATTCACGATATACCAGCCACACTGGTTGCTGCCTCCTATTTGAAATATCTTTTGCACAGATACCTTTACTGTCCCCTCGATCTGGAAGCTCCTGGTATCCAAATGACTCACTCCCTCATTTCACCTAGGTCTTTCTTCAATGGCATCTTCCCTGAACACCCTACCTAAAGTTGAATTCCTAAACACTTCCAATTTTCCTTCCCTGCTTCTATTTCTTCCTTCATACTGAACACTAAGTTGTATTTACCACTTTTATCTCTAAAAATGTAAATTCCATAAAGACACCAATATTTTTATTATTTTCATTGCTGCTCTAGTACTGGCACTTATTAGGCACTCAAATATTGTTCCAAGAATAAAATTTCAGTTAAATTAATTGCAACAGTCTATACCTAATGCTTCTTTCAATTCCTTCTGCAATCCTACCCTGCATGATTTTGTTTCCAATCAAAATGACAATAAAAGGAGTGTAAAAGTAAAGACAAAGTGAGCTCCTATATACCTTATTGGTATATGCTGAAAAGGCTAAGCAAGCAAAGTGACCTGGAATCTAAAGTTTGATTATAGTGTTCATGAGTATACTCTTCAATTTTATTCATTTTCATATAAAACAGTGTTGTCCCTTTCTAGATCTTTGATTCTACAAGCTTTGACCTGTCTATTCCTCAAACTTCAGCCACCATGTCACCTCCCATCTGCACCTCCCAAACCTGCGCCTTTGTCAAGTCATCATCTCTGGGCCATTGCCAAGGACTCCTAAGTGGCTTACCTGCCTGGTTCATTTCCTCTAATTACTTCACACCCCACAGAGCACACTGGTTAAGAGTTCAGTCTGCCTTCCATGTCTGTGGGTTCTGCATCCTTGGATTCAACCAACTTTGGATTGAAAATATATGAAAAAAATTGCATTTGTGCCTTTAAGTATAGACTTTTTTGGTCATCGGTCCCCAAATAACCCAGTAAAGCAACTATTTATAAGGCATTCACATTATATGAAGCATTATAAGTAAATCTCAGACAATCTACAGTGTGTCAGAGGCACATAGGTTAAATGCAAATATTATGCCATTGTAAATAAGGAACTTGATCATCATTGGATTCTGCGATCCATGTTGGATCCTAAAACAAATCCCCCACAGATATCAAGGGACTTCTTTAGAGCAATAGTCTCAAACATCAGAGAATTTGCATTTTTAAAACAATCCCTATAGTCAGGGACCAACTTTCCAAGAACCACCAGGGCCAATCTCCTTGGAGAAAATGCCTGGCTCAACCCATTCCCACCTCTGGGCTCCATCACTTGGGACAATTCATATAAGCTTGCAATACCTTACTCAAAATAAAATAAAGTAAAATGAGTGGATTAAGTGATTACATGAGCATTCAGAACAGGAGTGTATGGGACAGGGAGAAATCAACACAAGTCGGGCCCAACAGAAAATTCTTCCCACAGAATCACATTTAAACCCCTCTACCATGGATCCAAAGACCAGCTTCAACCTGTTTTTCCCTGACTGCTGTTACAGAAACCAACTACTATAATTTACACTGATACCAGCTGTCTGACTAAACTTCTTGTTTTCTCACTTACACACCTTCTCCAGAATGAACTTTCTCCTCCCCAACATTTTCCTCATCCTTCAAGCCTTACTCAATGTTCCTATCCACCTTATCCTAAAGTTTTTCCCACACTCCTGACACTTGAATCTGAATCACTGGCCCACAGTTTTCACTTATTGCACTATTGTTTTTAAAAGTGATTAGGGGACTGACAGATGGACAGACAAACGTGAGATAAGACCAGTGTAGTAAAAATAAAATTTCAACTGTAAAATCCACGTGGTACCTACAGGAGCTCAAGGCAAAATTCTTTCAACTCTTCTAAATGTTTAGGAATTTTGATAATAATTTGTTTAAAAAAAAAAAAAAAAGTACTTGCAAGTCACGGATCTTGCCTTAACTCAGACCGAATCCAGGACTCTGCATACAATGGATCTCTACAATCATCTGCCCTCTTCCTGGACTCCTCACGACAGAAAAAAAAAAAAAAAAGTTGTCTACTCCGGGGATGTGCAGATACAGTAACTAAACGTTCAAACACTATGACTGCGACATCACCTGCTGCGGTGGGACACAATGATGACAATGTTACTTCATTAGGATACAATTTAACCAATGGATTTGTTCCCAGCAAACACTTAGCTATTGACCTCAGTCGGAACCTTGCAACAGCTTCCGCCGCGGGTACTTTAGTGTGTCCACAGTACCCAAAAGTCACTAACCGGTAAGCCCCAGAACTAAGCGTGGAGCCCAAACCCGCGGCTAGGGATCGCTGGCCCACCTCGCTCCGCCAGCCCAGCGCACCCTGACAACGACCTGGAGTCGGCCCCGGCGTTGCCCAGTACTCAATGGGCACGCAGGGTTAAAGGATGAAGTTATTTAAGTGCCTTGGCTGAGGTCACCAATGCCAGCGCGCAATCAGTCCCGGACCCACCGGGCCTCGGACCCCCGCAGCCCCGAAGGAGACGCAAGAGTCGGCCGGCGGGGTAACTTCCCAGGCCCCGGCCTGGGTGAGGGGGTCCGGCCGGGGTCGCAGCTAGGGACAGAGCTGGCAGTCCAGGAAGCGGGGCCCGGGCAGGAGCTGCCGGCTCAGGACGTGTCTTACTCACATGTTATTGAAGCGAAACAGGTCGTCGCACGTGAAGGCCCGGAGCGTGGTCATCTCGCCACCGCCGCCACCCTAGAAAGCCGGCACGTCGCGACCCTGTGCTCACTCCGCCGGAAGTCGCCCCGCGCGCGAGGAGAACTGCTTCCGGGCCTCAGGTTGGTAGGCAGCAACGGCAGCAACTGAGCTCCCTCTGGCGGGCAGAGTCAGAAATTGCAAGACCACTCCTCTAAGGTCTTGGGGCGCCAGGAGCAGACAGGTGGGGAGTGGAAGAAACTGTTGGTGCCCAGAACTTTAAAACCGACTGTAGAGCAGTGTAATCACCCAGGAAGGAGAAAAAAGCTGCTAGGGATTAGAAAACCAAAGCATAAAGGATCCAGAACCACAAGGGAGCCCCATAGCAAACCAGATAAAGAGAAATGGGAGGATTCTCCCTCCTGGGTGTCCCGACCCAAAGATGCTAACGGCAAAGTGATCTTATCTTTTCTAATACCACGTTACAAAACAACAACAACAAAAAATAAACTTCTTTTTTTTTTTTTTTGGTGCAGGGAGTTAAGCACCAGGGCCTCACGACTTGCTAAACAAGCACTTTACCTTGAGCTACATACATCCCCAGCCCTTCAAAATATTATTTTAAGACAGGGTCTCACTAAGTTGTTGATCAGCCTTGCAATCCTACTACCTCAGCCTCCCAAGTAGCTGGGATTGCAGGTTTATATCGCCACACTTGGCTAATATTAAGAATATATTTTATTTTACCCAGTATACCTGAAATATTATCATTTCAACGTGTCAATACAAAAGGTATTAATGGAATATTTTACCTTTTTTTTAGTGGTAAAACTTTGAAACCTGGTGTGTATTTTCCGTTTCAGCCTATTTCAACTCGAAAGAGCAATTATCTTGCTCCAGATTTTGATTTCATAAAATGTATGATTAAAAAGGAGATTCACACATTCAAATAGTCCCAAACAGTATTTTCAAATAACTGGATTGAATTGCAGTTTTTGAATTGTTTAAATTAAAAGTTTAAAATTCTATTCTTCAGTCATATCAGCCAAATTTTAAGCACCCAATAGCCACATGGGTAGTGGTTACCATAGTAGACAGCAGAGGTTCAAAAGTTAAGAAAGGTTAGCTTGATTTGGGAGATTCTTTCCCTTCCACCCCCTTTCTGAGCACCTGTTAAGATGGTCTTGTGGGACAGATTGCAGAGGTTAAACCAAGTCAAATAACGAATCAAAAAGAAGTATCAATTCCAAGGTCCTCTCATCCCTAATTACTCTGGGGCCCAAGTTGTTCCACAGAAGCCCCCTGCCCGCTCTTGTGGCCCAGACATGGCAGGAGGAATAGAGAAATCAAATGGTTGAAGAAGTAGATAGCCCTAATAACAAGAATCTCCAAGGCCCAAGCTCATCTCCAGGCATTGTTTCCAAAATCTCAACTATATATATATGTAATAATATATGCAAATGTAATAACCCCTAAGAGTTTCAAATTCATGACCATAGGTACTGCAAATTCCAAAGGAAGGCAGAATATGAAACCATGAGTTCAGTTATTGTCTGCTAAGCATTTTAACAAGGAGAAATTACAGAGGCCATTTCCTATCAGTAAAATGTGTCACATTAAATAAATGTTACAGAAAAAATTTTAGAAAAGGTAAAATTGTGATTCTTATACAAATGTAAAGTGAACATATGTCAAAGATGTTGACTCATTTGTTAAAGAACCAGAAAGATATAACAGTCAGTTCCAAGGAGAATTTTAAATGCACAAGGCACTCAGGAATACTAAAATGTATACATGGATAGGTGTAAAATTGGTCAATGTTGACTGCTCAGTCATCCAGTGTGTCTCCACTGGACACAATATGATACATTTATATTTTTTGTGGAGAATAATAATTTTCATGACTACTAATATCCTACAGCTTCTACAACTTACAGATTTGTAAAATAGGTAAAAGACAATAAAAGAGAAAATCTAGAAGGGTCTACTGAACAAGATACCCAGTTATCCTTTATTTTTTTATTTTTTTTTTTGCTGTTGTTGTTGTTGTTTTGGTCATGTCAAAGTGTTTCACAGTTTTTTCTGACAGGAACTAAATTTTAATTGATTTAAATTTTAATTAGTTGTGAAGTTTTGGTGATTATCATAATTTTTCTCTGGTTCTGATTTATTAATTATACACATAACACTATAAACATCAGAGATTTATAGCTCTCTTTGTAACTATTTAACTAATGATATAACACATAGGATTTTTTATTTTAAAAAAATTCTGTGGATTTAACACAAAGGCAGACCTGAGGGTATTGGATGCTTTGTGCCATTAGATTACAACCACTGATAGAAATTGGAATTCAGAATTATCATTTTGAGCCAGAGATCGACATATGGACATGTTCAAAGACAGAAGTATCCCATAATGATAGCAATGACAAGAAAGAACGTGCATGAGAGCTCAGAGTATATCCTGGAGACAAGCTGGAACTTGCTTCTCTCCCTTTGCGTCTACCTATTTTAAAGCTGTTATGAACATCTTAGCTGAGCATCTTCTACAAATTAGCACCTCAGAGGGTGACCAGTAGGTGTCCAGCAAGTATCAGTTGAATAGCTGAATGAAAAAGGTGGCATACTGACTGTACTGAAGTCACTGTCATCTTTAGTTTACAAATGGTATTCACATTCTCAATTAAATCATTTCGAATCTGTACCTATCTCATGGGACCATTGTGCGGATTCAATGAGTTAATATCTGTAAAATACTTAGAACAGTTCTTGCCAGCTTTACATGTCATCTAAGTGCTTTTTAAGGAAAATCAATGGCATGAAGTATTTGGCATATTTAAGAATTGAAATCTTGGAATGTAGACTCAGCCATAGACACTTTAGCAGCCCAGGAATGATTGCTTGTTGCTCACATCACCAATGAGTAGCTTGTATCAGATGCATGTGGCTTTTGAAGCCACCTTCCTTTTCCCTTACTGTGCACCAGCCAGAAGAGTGTACATGTGACATAATTTTGTGGAGTTTTACAAATACAAATATATATATATATATATATATATATATATATATATATATATATATATATATATATATATA